TTAATCTATTTAAAAAACATAAATGATTTATTCACGATATTTTCTAAAATACCTTTAATATTGAAGAATCAGCTTGTTTTTTGCTAGAAGCACCACACTTTATAAGGATTCTCTTATGAAATTACAGAACATCTTATAACTTAGTCAACTTCATGAACAAAAAAATGACTTGGAAAGAAATAATTGGGGATTTTAGTCCATAATATGTATCTGTTTACAAAATTACTGAACAAATGAATTCATTTTGTATTTTCCATTATTAAAAAAAATAAATTAAAATAAAAACACCAATGTAAAATTACAAAGCCTTCAATGAATTCTTTAAAATATGGAATTTTAATTTTTGTTTGTGCATTGTTCTATCAGTACTGCTTTTTGTTTTGAATGACAAACACTGTGCTTGTTATTTATTTAAACTTTTTTAAAAAGTTAAAAAAAAAGTATATGGAATTTAATCCCTACGAATTGGGTGTCCAAAAGCCGTGAAAATATATATTGTTCATCTACATAATAAATAAACAGAACTTTACGAGTTGTTTTTAAAGATAGGTTTCAATTAAATCCAGCTATTTTCATAAAATCGATTAAAATTTTATGGCTTGTAATTTACCTAAGTATTGATTTTTTTTTTAATTTCTCGCGTTATTTGCGATCTTTAATTTTACATAATTATGGCATTGTTAAAAATGAATTGATACACCATTGTATCAGACAATATGAAGTAGTTGATAAAGAAGAAGATAATTAAGGGAAATACATAATATGTTAATAATAAACATATTATATTATTAATAAATGTGCATATTCAAAACATGAACATTTACTTTGAAGGTTTAATTATATCATGATTTTCTGATTACATTTATAAGCGATTTAATGCTATGATTATGATAATTAATTATGCAAATCATATGAATAAGGAATAATTATAATCATAATATATATTAAATAATGATTAATTAATTATTATTTAATAAAATAATTTATGTTATTACAAATTATAAATTTAGATATAGTTATATTCAGGTATTATGAAATCAAATTATTGTTGTCTACCCGGTATTAGGTATCAACCTAACGATTGTACATTTTTTGAGGGAAATTTCTGTCTAACATTTTAATTGAAAGTTACTGAATACGTATTGAGTAATGACGAAAAGATAATTTTTTATATTATGATACTGTAATCATGTAACGAATAATAAACATTATGAATAACAAATGCCAAATTATCCGTACAATCGTTAAGGTAATTTATTTTATTATATATAAAGTATTTTAATTTTAGTTTAGCTAAACTCGAGGATGTGAAACATTTTCCCACCTGAAGATTTTTAAAATGAAATCATTGAATTATCAAAGATATGGCGTACCAACAAAAAAATATCTTTGAGAAATAATATACAGGGTCCTTCAGGGTAAGTGGCCAAACTGCAAAAATGAACTAAGGACCTCAAATCAAGAAAAAAAACTTCCTTTGAAGGTATGTCCGCAAACGCTTTGTTTAGGAGATATTCACACCTTCAGATTTACGTTGCTATGAATTATTTACGTTATATGAAATAAATAAAACCAATTTATTTGTTCTAACAATGTTGTATGTTGTCTTGCACATTACAGAAGAGGTCCATGACCATGGCTAAATGTTAATTATCTCAATCAATGGATTGGCCGTGCAGGACCAGTGGCTTGGCCTGCACGATCTCCAGAGCTGACACCACTGGATTATTTTGTTTGGAATGACATTAAACAAAAAGTCTATGCAAGTCCAGTCAATGTCCTTAATTCCTTAAGAAGAAGGATAATTGAATCATGTGAAACAATAACACATACCCAGTGCCGTTCTGCCAATGCTGCTATTGAAGAAAGATGCCGAGCCTGTAAAATGGGGATTGCTCCGCTGATAGAAGTACCAGGTTTTTCTTTTTTTTTTACAAAAATATAATTTTATAAAAATTATTTAAACTGCTTACGTCGTTCATAGCTAAATTATTTTTACAAAATTCGCTACGTTTCTGTCGTCTCATCCCTTCTCAAAAATTTGTTTTATATAATTTATACATTATATAGCCACAACGAAAAAGAATCGATTAAAAGAAATATATATATATATACTGCACTTTAAACGTAACTTTAAACGACTAACGATTAAACATTTAGAATAAAACTAAATTCTAATTTAAACTTGAGTTAAGTATTTAATTTATTTTGAAAGAAAAATCACAATTTGAATTTTTTCATAGCTTTGTATTAGTTAAAGGAAGATATGGGATTGCTTTTTAGAGTCTGTAATAAATAAACATTTTAGTGAAAGAATGATTGTTTGGTTTTAATTGTAAAATAAACACTTTTGAGTCATTCTTAATGAATTATAAAAATTTAATGAAAATTGAAAATAAGAGTTAGTTAAATAAAAGTAAACTACTATTTATTAGTTCATTTTTGGATATATTAAAGAATATTAATATTTTAAAATCTAAATTTTAATTTTTTTAGTCAAAACTTTACAACCGATTGATAGCCATTCCAGATAAGGGAGATTAACTATGTTCAATTTTTTTTTAATATTTCAGAGAATTAATAAGTATTAAAAAGCAAGTAATAATATGGAATAAAATGAGTAATAAACAAAAACTTGGAGAATTCTCGGATGTAATTGACTTACGCAGGACTTGGAGTTCCAGGCTTTGATTAAGTCGTGATTCATTCAAGTCGGGTTTAATTGAAATGTGGTTAGTTTAACTGGAGTAGTTAAACGGGTTGACAAGGTGACAGCCAAGTTTACTTTGCTAAGTCGACGATATTCAAATTTAAATGTTTCTCCACTGATTGTCAATGCTGCATTAGACAGGTGTGGATCTACAAATAAAGCTAAAAAAAAAAGTTTCTAACGAGTTTTAAAACAGCGGAAACAGCGCTCATCTTGTTCATTCTCGAAGCCTTTAATTTATGTAAGCTTGGTTTCAGTACCATTCAATTGAATCGTGTTTTTAAAAATAAGTTTCTGAAAACGGAAAAGTTATCCAATGACTTCATTAGCTGAAACGGTCACAGGAGAAAGTGACAGTTCATTTCTAATTAAATATTCTATCTGTAATTAAATCTGTGACTAAAAAGTTTAAAACATGTCCCTAATATTCTATTAATTGCCTACAAGAATCAAGAACACTCAAAGAAATTGATCCTACTCGAAAGATAGGTGCGTTAAAAAAAAAACGTCTGTCAAGTAAGGTCAGTATAGCTCCCTCACCGTTTTCATTGTATATTACAAGGTATACAATTTTTCGTATGAGAATAAAATCTCTGAGAGAAGCCGATTCGGACAGTTACCCTTCAACATTCAACAAAAGTCTTATATAAAAATTTATTGTTTTACAAGAGTGCATAAAAATTTATTATTTCTTTATGCTTTATTAGAATAATTTCATATTTTATTGTCATCTGCTATTTTCCATAGTACCGGACTACTTATATCAGTTGCAGACTACAAAATGTTATATTTAATACAAATAGAATTAAAAAAAAAAAAAAAAAAAAAAAAAAGGCCATCGTAGTCATTACGTTAAATTTGTAACATAGCATGTTATAATACTTTTTAACTTTTAAGCTTTATCTCCCCTCACAAAAATTACTACTATTTAAACTATATGGAATGCAATAAAAAAAATAAAAAAAAGGCACGGATGTGCATTTTACAACCAACAAACAATAGTTTTGTAAATTTATACAAAAAACAAAAACAAAAAAGAATACATAAATTCATAAAATAAAGCGAGGCTTTGAAAATATTACCATTCTTTTTAAGATACCGAATCGCAAATTTTCAAAAGTTTATTCATTCATTTCTTTTTTTTTTAATTGAAATTCCTAGTTTCTATTAAATGTTATAGCAACATTAAATCGAAAATTAATTTAAAATTACTATAAAAACCACCGACTGCTTAAATTTAATTTTTAATTATTTCTGAAAGTTTTATTTCAAATTGTAATTGTTTATGACAAACAGAACTTAAATATTAATCATAAATAGCAACTAAAGTTGTAACCGTCAGCTGTTTGAGGTGTACAAAAAAATATGATTAATTTTTTTCATTTTTTATTACAAGTTGAATAATACATAAGAGAAATAAATATAGATAAATAAAATAAAATAAATCAAATAATAATAATAAATAACTATGATAAAAATTTATAATGAGATCAAATGAAATTTTAAAAAACTTGAAATAAATAACCTGGTTATATTATTCGCGACCACTCACTCATTAAATAATTAATCACATTTTTTTTTAGGGGCTCAGTTAAAATAAAATAATTTTTACCCAACTCTGATTATAACCTACTATGAGTATTTAATACATATCTAGGATGGGATGTTATTTAAAGAAATATTATACCTTATTTATTTCACCATCAGTCAAGAAAAACGTATTTTAAAACTCTTTACGGTAATGGATTAACTGTAAAAACGCTAATATCGTCTTTAAAATTTGGTTATAAATTTAAATATTCCACATCTGTAGTTGTAGTTGAATACCTGGAAACATGGCGTTGGTACAATACTGTATTGTGATACAAGGGGCTAGAAGAAATAAATTGCTTGCTACCCTTGTGATATCACTTGAGACGAGACTTCTCGCGGGATATTTGATAGCATTATTACCGCTAAGTGATATACGATCGCGGGCTTTGGGAATCCAGGCACCAACTGACGGATCGATACATACTCGATAAGGCACGTGTAACATGATCGATATCATCATCGATGTAATACAGTCTTGGTATCACGACTCCAGAGCAGATACGGAGCTGAATACATAATCTGACTCAGGTGAATTCGAACCTGGGAATCAATAATCAAGTGATGCTGTAATATTAATTGGAATCTGGTTATAAAAATCAGTGACATATAGCCGAAATTATTAATTTAAATTATTTTAAAAACTATCTAGACCATTTTGCAGGTACTTAAATTGCAAAGTTAAATTTATTGAACTCACCAATATTGGGATGCTGCAGTTTCCGACATATCCTTGCTTCTCTTTCTAATTTTTGAAAGTCTGAAACAGAAAAAAAAAAGGAGTAAGTTATAAAATTACAAATACATTCTCAACAAAAGTGATGAAATACCCATATGACAGAAAATAATATTAGAAATGAAATTATTTTACTAAAATTAAAAAACAAAGATTCATTTATTGAATAATAACATCTGCCACACCCATGAAAAATAAGTATTAGTGTTAAAGATATCCATTTGTACAATAAATGCCTAAAGAAAAAAGAAATAGAAATATTTACGAACAACTTTTAAAAATAAATAATACAAAAAATGAATAAAATGAAACAAAAATAAACTAAAAAATTTAAACTTTTCTCTTCCGTATATGTCAATTTATTCATCTGTCTAACGTTTCGGACTCTGTGTCAAATGTTAGAAGAACAGGAGACAAAGGAAAAACATTTAAAGAAGGTAAATGAAAAATGAATTGTAAATACATTTTTTAAAAAATATGTCTAAATATAGAAAAAAATTGTAAAAAAAAATATTAATAACGTTATGGTGTTCCAATAGTGAAAAGAAATATCTCTGAAGATGGACAGAGAGTCCGATTTCAACCATCAAATGACTGGCGCATACTTAAGAAAATTTGACCCAACCATGATTAATCCCAACACATTACTTTCACTCTTCAACAAAAAATTTGCTATTTACTTCGACATTGCCCAAATTTCTCAAACAGATAAAGTGCAATATCTTATGGTTACATTTCACAGAAGAATAACATAAGAACCACACATATCGAAAAGAGAAAGAAAATAAAAACGTTGAACATCAGACTACGACTATTATATCACTTCTTTCGAAATTTTATTTTTATTTTTTATTTCTTTATGACATTTACAACTGTATTACATAAATACATCAAGTAAATCTTTCAAAATAAAAATACAAACAGAAACTGAACATTTACTTATTTAAGTCATTCGCTTCACACACTTATGGGTCAGCAAATACTTCCAGAACTATTACTAACGCTCCATAATACGTCACAAACATTTTACATAAAGACCTTCACATGCCAAACGGTTGAAGATCACATAAAAACACTACATAAGATTTCACGATAACTTACTCGGACATAATAACAAACTCGTATAAGATAGGCCACAATTAACACGGCCGATTACTTGTGTTGCTCAAAATCGGTCTTGGTCTTGTATAGTGCTTAGCCAAGACCGCCTATCTGTTACAAGTCCAAGACCAGGACTGGTAAAAAAAATCGATTTTTTAAAATAACAATTAAGGCAAAATAATTAGTAATACTCGACAATTTAATACTATATGTTAATAATTGGTATAACCAATATACTTTTGCATTTAACTCCTCTAATTTTTCGTTCGGGCTTAGTTAGGTTTCTCCTATCTAAAAAATTACTGTAATAACTCTACAATAATAAGCTAATAAATATTGCAAGACTAATGCGAGACTCTTGAGCAAGACCAAGACTCGTCTAGGTCTCACATTTGGGCAATACTACCGATTACACACTTCTTAGGAGACTCAAAAGAAGTTGGATGAGAGATTACCTCGCTTAAATATGAATACTGTAATTAAAATAGGAATGGATGCAGCTGGGCACTCCCTCACGCCTATCCATGTCTTACTACTATTTTACTTCCCGATAGCATAGCAACAGGTTTTCAATATTTCTGACAGGTGAGGATGAAGAAATAAAGTTTAAAAACCAAAACACCAAAATTAATTTATGTTTAAAACATGGATTAAATTATTTTTATTTATTTTATGATGTACACAAGATCAATTTTTTCCCTGACTAATGAGTGCGTGGCGCCATGACGAACATGTGGACGTGTCTGGAGTTGACACGGAATGTGTCCATTGTTTATCGAATGGAATTAAATGGTATTAAATCGATTTTCATGTTTATCAAGTGAGATTAAATCGATAGCGGTGTCATTTCGTCCTTAATTAAAGCGCCGACACTTTCATCGTATCCAAAGCATGTTAATATTCTTTACTTAATTTTTTTATGATATATATTAAGGGATCCGACAAAACATGGACGCCAATTTTAAAAATAATTAACATTTAATAAGAGCAAAAACTAAAAACAATGAGACAATTATTTAGATATGAAGATTCCATCACACAGAATTGAGTCTTTCAAACAGTAATGAATAACTTCAGGCATTATAAGGATTGGAAAACTTTAAGATCACTTAAAGCGGAACGGAAAAAGTATATATCACCTTAATAGCCATAAAGTATACTACACAGATAGAGAACGTCATTACAAAACTATCTTAGAATATGTCAAAAAGTTTTATAAAAACAAGTTTATTCTAAAGTCATATTATAATTTATGAGTATGAATAATAATTTTGTATCATAATTTAAAAATATGCTATTCCCTGTTTAAAATTACAATTTGAGGTCGTGATGGCCGAGCGTGTTAAAGCGTAAGCTTTAACATTTCAATATATACAACAATATAACATTTTCAAGTTTAATGACACTCACAACAATTCGATGCATTATATATAATAATTTTAAAAGATCATTTAATTGGAAATTTCATTATATTAATTTTTCCATTACCTTCTACAAGTTTATATGTTAGATATTCCAACATTTACTGAACGGATTCTGCAAGCTTTCAATTTATTACAAACGGTTATAATAAGGTCTGTATGGATATACGAAGTTGAGCTTTGAGGCTTCAGTAAACCATCCAATACATTCAGAATCAAATCCTTACAATTCAAAATCCTTTGTAAAATCCTATAAGCTTCATATTTTGTCACAAACAAAATCACTCATAATGTTCTGCACATTTCTGGTTTGGTCCAATCCAGATATCTATCCTTTCTTATTAAACTCTAGACCCATACGAACCCACTTGTTTCCTGCCTTAATTCGTCTTAGACTCCTAATAACTCTCTTGGGCGACTGACAAGAAGAAGGGCTCGGGATCTTCTTACTTAAAACTATTTAGGGAATGATACCATACGGTAGTATCTGAACAAGCCTGTTCTCTTGCCATTATTCTTTATTTTTCTACATTTACTAAATTTATTTAACAATTGTAAAATTTTTTTTTATTTCACGACTTTTACAACATTGGTCATATGCCGTCCATACATAAGTTTTTGCCATCTTCTTCGGTCCTGCTAGTTTCCTTCACGCATGCCCATGTTCATCATTCCTTCCTTTACGCCTTCATACCAGTTTCTCTTCGGGCGACCTTTCTTCCGACTTCTTTCCGGTTTTCCCAACTCGGTTTAGACCATCGTTCCTCTTCAATCCTCATCACATGGCCCTGCTACTTCAGCCTCATTGTTCCGCTGGTGCAGAGGTTGTTTTCCGATCTGTTATACTTGTTTCCTTATTTCACTATTTGGAACTTTTTGAAGGCAAGGAACTTTTAAATTTTAATAAATATGTTTAAAAATATATGCTAGATATCAATCATTCCTAAAATATTTAGTCATTTTATATTTAAATATTTATATTACTATTGTTATTTTCGGAAATTTATTTTCAACTTCGGAAAAACATTGGTTCTTCAATCAATGATATCAATCATTCCTAAAATATTTAGTCATTTTATATTTAAATATTTATATTACTATTTTTATTTTCGGAAATTTATTTTCAACTTCGGAAAAACATTCTACTTAACTTAATTATCAAATTCTTTTATAGTTTATACTGAAGCATTTTTTATTACTACTGAAAATTAGAGACATTTAATTATTTCAAATAAAATAAATTTAAGGCAATATAAAGGAATACGATAATAATCGAGTGTAAAATAGATTATATGAAGAGGCATTTTCAGTTAATAAATTCTGATGAAAACGTCGCTATTTCATAACAAGCATACACCACCTTTAAATAGCTAATTTCAGTGTCTTATCACCTTCTGTTTTTGAAATAGTCTGTTCACACAGACACAGGCCATTTTTCAAGACTTGGTTGTTTGGACACAGAGTACCTCAAAATGTGTGTTTGGTTTAAAACTTGGATTCGAAAATTTTCACGATCGCAATAAATAAGGAAAAACATATACTATCTACTACATATACAGGTATATGAAAGTAAAAAATGAAACATACAGTAATGTACAATATACAATAATGAATTAACGTAAAAATGGTCGCCCAGCTCGTGGCTCCAAATCGATAAGAGTGAAATTGATTCACTTGTCTTTGAATATTGGCCAAGGACTAGCTAGCCACGATCCTGTTGAAATAACCATTACTTAATAAGGGTCACCATCTGTCTTTAATAGTTTAAAAATATAACGTTCGTTGAACTAGTAGCTAAAGTAACAGTTTAATAGAGCAAACGTTTCGACCCGATTTTGCAGGCCTTCTTCAGGGCTAGAACGGACGAGATACCAAAAAATATAGAGAATTGTGGAAGTTACATTATATTTAAATAAAAAATTATAACCAATGTGAATAAACTTATTAAAATTATAAACACTAAGTACATTAAAATATTAAGAACAATAAGTTGTATAAACAGATTAAGCTCAGTAACAAGATCTTAAACTGAAGTAAATAGATGGAAACAGTTGTTGCAGTATAATAAAATATAATATATGTTATTGTGAATATACTACTACAGATCAACAGGAGAGATTAGAAGAAAAGGAAAAAGTATATAATATGAAATAGTGGCAAAAAAGGATGTAGAGAAAGAGAAGAAAAAATAAAAAATAAGTAAATAAAATAAGTAGAATAAAAATAGAGAAACAACAGTGATCAGCAAGGAGTATCACTTAGAATTGGATAACCAGGGTAAGGATGGGTACTGGGGAAATTTGTTGACCTGGTAATAGTGAGGGGGTAAATAGTAAAAGTAAAAAAAACCTAGAAAATTACACTATATAAAATTTGAAGATATGGATGGATACAAGGGAAAATACTATATCTATGAAATAATAAATTATAAATATATACAAATACATATAAAATAGAATTAAGAAATTATAGATAGGAGTACAATCTGAACAAAAAGAAAAATGAAAGAAGTAAAACATGCATAGAAGTAAAATATAAATAGAGAAATAAGATATCATACATTGCAGATACTAACTTAGAAGTATAGCGAGGGAACAAATATGAATAATTATAACTATATTTAGTTGTACATATGTAAGAAAATTACATTTAAATATTAGATATTAAATTAC